GTTTTGGTGCTGTTTGGAGTATTTTCACTGAAGTTATTTGAAAACCGTGTTTCAAGGTGAGCATTGTGTTGCCACGGCAACAGCATTTGAAGAAATCTCAAAACTGTCCCGTAGATGTCTTCATGGCTGGACTGTTAGCACACATGTGAAGTTTGAGCACTTTTTGAACATTTTCATAGGAGTTATAGCAACATCATGTTTTATGGCGAGGGATGCGTTTCCATGGAAACGGCTTATGGTGAGATCTCAGATTTGGCGTAGAGCTGTTGAGGCATGGACCGGTGATATACAAGTGAAAATTGGGGGGAGATTGGACCGTGTCGATTGGACTTACAGCGACATCCTGTTTCATGGCGAATTGCATTTGAAGAAATCTCAAAACTGTCCCGTAGATGTCTTCACGGCTGGACTGTTTGCACACTGCTATCTGAAGTCTGCTGCTCTGAGTATGTCAGTTGGAGTGATGACATCATCGTGTTCCATTACACAGGTGTTTATAGTTGAGCTAACGAGGTGCCTAGACTTCAAAGGCTTCATTGTTCTGAAGGAGAGATGAACCTCTTACATGTGAACGTTTTGTGGAAGAACGATAACAGATATCTGTGAAATTTCAAAACGTGAAGCATGTCAAGGAAGTTGAGCATCTGAAGTGTAATTTTTGTGTACTTTCCGGTTAATAATGTGGCCTTTTTGGCAGTTTAACTAAAGGTGTGTGGCTGCTACCATGAGGAAATATCTGCCTGAAATTACAATGGGGTTTAATGGAGGCATGTTGAACGTTTTTGTCACTTCATGCCTTCAAGAGGCATTTTGTTTAATTATTTTTGCTTAATTATTTGTCATTTTTCAAGCTACGAGATGTTTTCCTACATTTGTCATGAAACATTATGTCTCAGGAATGTAGGGTTTGGGAATTATGGCAGTTTAAAAAAAATATATGAAGGCAAATTTCAAGATGTTCTACCCTCTAGCTGTGACATCACATCTGAAGAAAACCTCTAAAACAAGGTCTGAACAATGTTTAATATCTCTAAAAGTAAGAATCAGATTTAAAAGTTTTTTTACATGAATAATGTCAGAAAGATGTGTAACATTTTAAAGTTGGAATGAGTGAAAGTATGAATGAACAGTTAGGAGTTGAAGTCGCATGAAGATTTGTTGAAGTTGAAGAATTTCTCCATTGACTTCAATGGTTGAAAATGTGATGTATTATGGGATGTATCTCTGGAATTATGAAAGTTATGAATGAGATAATGGTAATAATAGCCATCGATTCCTGACCGAGCTGAACGTTTTGATGTTTGAACGGAGTTTCTGCGATGTTCAATGCGGAAGGAGAAGCGCGGCAAAATAAGTCGGCGGAATAATAAACTTTTCGTCCGTAGAATAACAGTTAGTTGGAATGCTGTTAACAGCATTCCCACTAAATGATTGCCCAACTGAGGAGCCAGAAGATAATTCAAGACAAAAAAGGTACTCACAAGAAGAAATAACTTTTTGTAGCCAACCTTGAGAAACCCCACGACAACACCACGGCCTCTGTGTGTGGGGAAGGAGGGGTAGGGGGGGAATGGGATACAAGAGGGTGTAGTGAGTAAGACTCTGTGCTCTAATTCACTTTTTACTGCTGCAATAAACATAAACACAGTACGCTCACATCTAAACACAACAGTACATGCACTGTGACCACAGTATGACTCAGTACTGAAGCTATTAAAGGTCCAGCTGATGAATACAGCTCAGTCAGTGTTTGTGTAATGAGAGGAGAGTGTGACATGTACCCGTTGCTCTCTCTGTCCTTCAGCAGGTACAGCTGGTGCTTCTGGGACTGCAGCTTGGAGGCACTGGTTATAGAGGCTGGGAGCTGCTGGGCCTGAGGAGAGAAAGGACACTGTTACGTTTATCATCAGTACTATCACAAAGGATGTGGAAACTAGTACTAACATGAGGTTTGAGTTTTGCAAAGGATAATATTCCAGCCCTCTGTCTGTACAAAACATGTCTAAATGATATGTCAGTACACTAGTGGGTGTACATACGCGCAATAGGCCTGTGTATTGTGTGTTTGAACCGACTTCATTCAAATGATAGAGTGTGTTGTTGTGATGATTATAGATGTTGGATCACAGAGTATTGGGTTAACCAGATCAGTGATGCTGTTGCCCTACTCATTAGCAAACTGCATTGAGAACCATTAGGCCCTAATGGTTCTCTAGCAGTTAGCCTCTGGGTCTTTTACGTGGAGTAAGCATTTCAAAAAAAAAAAAATGTTAAGGGGTCATTTGTCTTTTGATGTCAAAAGACAAATAGTGATAAATGTTAAGAAAAGTACGATATAAATATTTAAAGAAAGTTAAAAGTGCTTATAAGTATTAAAAGTGAACTACAACTATTTTCAAAATTCTAAATAAGTCAGTTTTATTTTGATTCTAACCCCAACAAACAAATCATACAAACAGAGACTCACCTTTGCTGAGGCTCTCCCAAGCTCATCGATAACTGTTTCTATGTTTGCCTGAAGATGTGGCCTGCAACATGAATAATAAGCATAATAATAATCAGTGGTGGAAGAAGTATTCAAATTATTATATTGTCAAAATACTTTGTTACGAGTAAAAGTCCTGCATTCAAATCTTACTTGCATAAAAGTACATCATCATAAAAATATTATCTCCAAAATGTAATTAAAATATGAAACGTAAAAGTAATCATTGTGCAGAAAAGAGCGTGTCTATATAATGATATCTATATATGTGACATTTCTAGAAAATATTGTTGCATCAAGTAGCATTTCACTGTTTAAGTTCTGATTGACTTTTAGTCAAACATTTAAATAATTAGACTCTTTTTCGACTTAAAGGTCCCATGTCATGGCCATTTCTACTGATGATTCCATTGTTGAGGTCTACTAGAATAGATTTATATTGTTCAATTTTCCAAACTCACATTGGTTTCTCATAAAGCATCTAGTCTGTATAGTATGTGTATTCACTTTCTGTCCTACACGCCTTGTTGGAGCTCCTGCCGCCCCCTCCCTGTGAGCCCAGTGTGCTCTGATGTGTGTTTATGTGTTACAATGGCATTTATTAGCAACCAGTAAGGACAACTTTGAGGCTTGAGGAGCGGACAGTGTGAGCTGGATTACTGGTGTCGTTTCCTGGTTGCTGCGTGGGGTCTGCGAGACAGCGAGACACCTCGGAACTCAGCCTGAACTCAGCCTGAACTCAGCCAGAGCACACAAACAGAGTGTGTGTGTGTGTGTGAGGAGCTCAACGGATTGGTCCATTTGGACCTGGGTATCGTTACGCCACTATAACCAGGAAGAAACAAATGGAAAAAGAGAAATGTCCAACGAGACGTTCTGGGGCAGCATAGACAGGTCTTTTCTGTGTTAGAGTTTTACTCGCTACAGGGTGTACTTTGAGGGTTTGTGACTCTGGAGACCGTTTACATGCAGGAAAAGCTTCATAACACACAAGGGGACGGGTAATAACCGGAAAAGCATGACATGGGACCTTTAATGAGTTTATCCACTAGTTTAATTTTTAGAGTTGCATTTTGTTAAAAGTGTTAACAATAAAGGTAGGGAAATAAATTCCTTTTAAATGTAGTAGAGTAGTAGTACAAAGTAGCATGCAATGGAAATACTCAAGTTCCTCAAAGTTACTTATTACTTCCCATCTCTGCTGATACTTCAACCCCAACAACATCCTGAATACCAAGTGACACACACTCTGAAATGAAGTAGCTTCCTCCATATTATCCAGTTGTTCTTCTACAGCTGCACAGGCACATGTAGTACTGTGTTGGTGACTGCACTAGCATTAATACAATGTGACAGTTCCCAGCCTGAAGAGAAAAGGATGTTCCGACTTACATTCCTGCTGTTTTACGTCCTGCAACAAGGGTCTGGTCCAAGATGGAGAACCTCTCGGGAAATAAGTGGTTGATATCAAAAGGAAACTCCATTATATCTCACAGATACCTGGACCGTTATATCCAGGTTAGCAGAAGAAACAATAGCAGCAGGAGGGCAGCAGGTGCTTTGCTAGCTAGCGAGCTAACCAACTAAACGGGCTGTATGCTATCTCACAAAGATAATTCGTTAATGCAAAAACAACAGTAAGCTAGCTGCTAGCATTCCGAAGAGAATAGCCTTACAACTCAGCATTGTCTGAATGTGAGGGGCTGTAAATGATGAGAGTAGTGAGAACAGGCACCGGCTATTCACAGTCACTGCAGCTCCATTGTGTCTGTGGTCGAGTCCCTCCCTGGCAACATCAACCGTAATGTGTGGAAAAGACAGTGGAGAAAGTCTGCATTAACTACTGCGTCAATAAACGTTTTGAAAAATATCCCAAAACAATTTAAGGCAAAAATGAGTAGGCTACACATGTTGGGAACAAATTATATAGTTACTTAGTCAACTTCTATCCCAATAGTATTTTTACCATAATGTTTAGCAAACCTGTTTTTCCAGTTTTACGGTAAAATTCATGAACAGAGAAACTGCTCGGAGATCTCAGGGGAGGACTGTCTTCAATTCAATTCAATTCAAATAGCTTTATTACTTAGCATGACCATCATGACATTACGTTCCGTGGAACATTACGGGACATAATTCACTGTGTTATAGACAGAGTGTGTTGCGCCACGGACCTGTTAGGTAGCGCACCTGTGTTTTGTTACCATTCCAGCTTGAGTAGCATGTTATGAAGTTGTTCCTACCTTTCTGTGTAAACTAATGGAACATAAAGTGTGGAGTTCCATACTCAACACGCCGCCT